TTTTTTTTAAGTGGTGAGACGTGTGTTTCCGGGATCGCCATAAGGTCAAATGTCAGGCTCTCATGGCAGCTGAGCGAGAAGTGGCGAGAGATTCATTTCTCACCTCTTTGTCCTCCCCTCCAGAACGTAAAGCTGGGACCAAAGGATTTGCTCTAATTATATTATTTTCAGTCGCTAAAAAAGGGGATCCGAGTGGATTTAAAACTCCAATTTAAGGGCTTTGATAGCTGAAAACAATTTATAGCATTCAAAGTTGAGAATTAGGAGCAAATTAAAGCGTAACCCAGTTCCAGGGAGCCGAGTCCTCGGGGCGGGAGACGAGACGGAAGGGTGAAAGAATTTAGTGTCTGGCTCAGGAGGGGTTGCGAGGGGCTGTCTTGAGACTATTTTAATCTCTCTGTGTTTGTGCGTGAGTGTATGTGGTGCTCATCTGCGGCTGATCCCTGTGCTACTTGCATGAAGGCAGGGATTCCAGTTCCCCCTGCTGGGATCTGGCCGAGGCACACATGGCAGATGGAGGGATGGACAGGAAAGTAATGGGAGAGTTGGGAATGATGGGAGGAAGAGGTGGCATGCTGCGACTCATTAGTCAACACTTACCGCAGTAGAATGGCTACTGGAAAGCGTTAAAGTAAAAAAAAAAATAATAATAATAAAGTAAAGTAAAGGTTTTTAATCTGTTTGATTTTCCTCTAGCGTCTCCTCTGATTGGCCGGTACTGCGGGACAAAGATCCCCCCAGAGATCCAGTCATCCTCCGGGCTGCTGTCCCTCTCCTTCCACACAGACATGGCCGTAGCCAAAGACGGCTTCTCCGCACGCTACAACATCACCCACAAAGAAGTCGCCGACTGTGAGTGCGGGATAATGTCTCCTGAATGTGTTCGTGCATCACGTTTCTCTCTGAAGCTTTGTTTCTTTTTTTTCCCTCCCCTCCTCTCTCTCTTCTTCTTGCCCTATCCTCACCTTCTCGATATTCTCAGGTTTGCCTGCTTTAATGCTATTTTAGGTTCGATGCTTTTTCCAAGTTCCCTCCAGAAGTGTTTTTGCTCTTTTCTCAGAAGCAGAGTCATACTGTTTTCATTTAGAACATAAATTAACCCCAGTTTACCTCAGCTCACCTGCTGCTTGTCACGCCACAACCGCAGAATTCAGTCGAACGCAAGGCTTGTAGGAAGCGAGTTGAATAAGGTGCTCTGATCATTTGAAGCCAAAATTGAACAAACATTATGAGATGAAACCTAAGACCGCATGGGATCCTGAATGAAACATAGCGGTGACAGCCTCTGTAGAGAATATCTAAAATATTCTAGAGAAAATGCAGCATGAGAGGCTGAAATACTTTTGTGCAATGCTATATGAGATGCAGCTGGATGGCATTCTCAACTCAGCCAATCCAGGCATTCATTTTCTTTGGTGCTGATTGGCTGTGCCACCCAAAGACTGGAAATGAGGAAAACTGCAGATGTTAGCTTCTGCAAAAGTGCTAAAAGAGAATTTCTGCTGTGTGTATTAATGCTTATTAAAGTATATTTTAAAGGTTTGAACTAATAAAATAGGAGGTTATTAGAGTTTTTAAAAGGGAACAGCTGTGGTAGCGAACACCACCAAACTTGTATAGTTCCACTATACAAGTTTATCTTTATCTTGCGGGGGGAAAAACTTGTTAGAAGCTACAAATATGACTTAAATATACAACTAGAGCTACTTTTACTGTGCTTCTTCGTGTTGGTCTTTCACATAGAATAGATAGAAAATACAATGAAATTGGTAGTGGTAACTTGAAAAAGTTCAAGTAGTACGCACACTATTTTCCGTTTCTTTCACTAGTACTGACAAATCAAATCCTCTTCCACCTTTTTTGCATTTATCCGCAGTTAATCGTCTCCCCTTTCCTCTGCTCCCTTCACTAGCGTTCCACTGTAGCAGCGCGCTGGGCATGGAGTCGGGCAAGATCAGCGACGACCAAATCACAGCTTCAACCAGCTTCTACGACAACCGCTGGTTGCCACGGCAGGCCCGCCTCAACAACGACGACAACGCCTGGACGCCTTCAGAGGACAGCAACAAGGAGTACATAGAGGTGTTTATTTGCAGGCCCAGTTGCATTTTTCTTATGAAATCGAAGCTCACGCACAACTTCAATAAAAATTCCAGCCATGAAGTGACCTTAAAGATCACTTTGTTGAGGATAATAAATTTGTCGTGGTGAGGAAAAGATGGAATATACAACAGTATCTCATATACTGCAGGACACACAGACACACACACACACACACACACACACACAAACGGGAAATGGAGGAACTGTAAACCGATGATAAGGAAGTTCTTCTGCACTTTCAATCTTTCCTGTCTCCAACACGCGCGCGTTTGCATGAGCCGAGGAGAGAGAGCAGCGCGACGGCTGTGATTGATGAAGGTGCTCTCCTGGAACGCATCCCAACACCGAGCCATTGATCTTTACCTCCCGCCTCCTTCACCTTACACACATGACAATGCACATACATGCTCTCCTTGGTTTCCCCAGCAGTGGGGCCCAGTCTGCGACTAATTCCTGCTGCTTGTGCGACATTCACACGGCGGCAGGGACGTCTCCGGTATCTACGTCGGTCGTGCTTCCTTCTAAATAGGTTTGTTTTAATAACTTACAGATTCACCTTGTTTCGTAGGATATCCATATCTTCCTTTTTCTCGGGGAAAAAGGAAATTATGTTTTGTTTACGCTTTTGCGCCTTAAAATCATCATCGGGTTTGCTTATCTGCGTCTTCCGCTTAGAATCATAGCGTGACATCCAGCTTAACGGTGCCAATCTCATTTCTGCGGCGGATGGAGTGGTTTCGCTTCCCCCCGCCCCATAATTTGAAGATTGTTCCAATAAAATTTCTTCTTTATTTCAGGTTGACCTCCACTTCCTCAAGGTGTTGACTGGGATAGCAACACAGGGGGCCATATCCAAAGAGACCCAGAAGGCTTACTACGTCACCTCCTTCAAACTGGAGGTCAGCACCAACGGAGAGGACTGGATGGTATACCGACACGGCAAGAACCATAGGGTTAGTCTTTGCTACGCGCATTTAAATTGAGCACTTTACCACCAAAATCACAAGTGTCCCACTTCATTCCCAATGACTGGCAGAAAAGTTTACTGTCATCAAGACTTAGTCCCTCTTAGATACAACTGTTTCCTGTACATACAAGCATCTTCAGGAAACTGGACTCGGCTTGCAGCTAAAGGTCCTTTATTTACAGTCCATGTATTCCGCTGCCACGGCTCATTCCTCAGTTAACAAAGGCAGCCACGTTCATCCAGGAGTTGCGTCAGATGATGCAGCATTCCCGATGGTGTCATTCCCCTTCCGCGACCGCTTGTCGACCTCAATCGTGACCCCGGGTCATGAGGTAGAAAGAGAAGCGAAAGACGAGTAAAACAAGAACAATGAAATCCTCTGTGTGCTCTTATCTCCATTTTAGATTTGTGATCTCTCTCTCTCTCAGGGTAATGCTCACACACAAACAGACACCTGGGGTTGTGAAACCGATTGGAGTCGTGCCAGGTGTGGACTGGGACAATTTATGTAATATTGGTGTCGTTTGGTGCTTTGATGAGGCCTTATATCTTTTTGTTTTGTTTTGTTTTGCGTGTGATGTTCTGCATACAGCGGAGGCTGCTGTGCGACCACCTGTCTCTTGGGGGATTCCAACTCTTTCCCCTCATTCCAGGCTTAAAGTCTTTGTGGATTTTAAGCAGAAAAACAGAGTGGGGGGAAGAGGAAGAGGTGGGGTGATGGGAGAGGGGGTGGTTTAATCCGCATAGACTAACCCGTACGGACCAGGACCCCCCCTCCTCTTCTGTGCGTGACCGTGATTGGTTTGGGTGGTGCCAGTGGGGGGTATTTGATGTAGAGATTATTGAGCAAAATGTGGATTTGCCTTAAAAGTCAACATCTGTGTAATTTATTAGAGCCCCCAGATGTCCCCATTCCTTCCACAAGCTCAAGCCCACTCAGTCCACAGACACCTCCTCCCCCTCCCACTCCCATTTAAATAACCTCTGGCTGATCTTCCTGTCTGGAGATGTGCGTGCAAGCGCATATATATCAATGTATACACATGGTGCTTGCAGGTCCGTCTGTGTTTTGGTAATGTGAGTCCTCTAATCTGTTGGAGCAAAGGGAAAAAAAAAAAAAAAAAAAAAAAATAAAGACACGTTGAGACACGGATTCAGACAGATGCATCATTTGCAGGCTTTTGGGATGGATATCGCAGGCATTATGAAAATCATTTTCAGCCTTTTGAATGCACAGAGGGGCGGCATGACTCAAAGAGATCGATGGAATTTTTAAAGTGCGGTTTTTAAAAGGGAACTCGGGGGTGACTCGACGGCGATCAAAACTAATTCCACGTTGCTCTGAGCTGAAACCAGGAAGTCCTGCTCCTCTTGCCCTGCCTCATTGCATAACCTCCATAAAATGTGAAGCACACCGTCTGCTTTTGATTCAAACAAAGAAATGATGACAGTTTGAAGGTGGACCCCATGCATGAGAGCATTGGTCACATTAGGATTTAAAACCACAAGCGTTTATTCAGGATCCATGCCCGAGTACGGCGAACCTTGAACAACGAGGCCTGTTTATGGTCATGCGTTAGGATTAATTAGAATCAGGCTTTGACTAAGCCACTCATCTTAATTTTTTGTTGCTTTTTTTTAACCTTTCAGATGTGAACTTGCTGCTGTGGTTTTTTTTGCCTCTTCATCTGCGTTTGATGTGTTTGTGTTTTTGGTACTTTAGGTAGTCAGACAGCTCCTGTTTAAGTGATTCATTGATTTTATTCATGTCTGCGGGTCGCCAGGCTTGGGTGTGGTGGCTATTGAAATTGACCCCAAAAAATGTTGTGAATCATGGCTAACTCATGATTTAAACAAAGGAGCAGCTATATTTTCACAACTTCTCACCACTGAATTAAATCATCATTTGAAAACAGTTTTTTTTTTTTGCATCCACTTCGGTTATTTTTGACACAGATGTTTGATTTGATCAAACGGATATCTAAGTGCTAAGAGCATTCCTTTAGCATGTTTTTTAAAAAAACAACTTTTTACATCTTAATAAATGGATATATTCAACAAATCAAACTCGAAAGGGATGTTTAGCCATAATTTGGAGCCCGGATTTACAGTTTAATATTAAAACCGGAGAGTGCGCTCCACTCCTTGTTGGTCAGGGGCTCCGCCGTTCCCCACGGGCCGCGGCTGAATCTTCCGTGACCACTAATCCACCCGTCGTGCTGCTCAAGCCCCCCTGTTAGCCGGTCCTAAGCCCCCCCAAAGAGCCTTAAGTGGTTGAAGCTCAGTTCTCGTCGGGGGGTCTTGTAATGCCTGGGATTTGGTTCTTCTAATTGTCATTTAACAGTGAGCTTAATGCTATAGCGGCTTATGAATTGCACGTGCACCATATCTGCACACCCGATAACAGATTACTATTATTAATAGGAGGGCTTTCCAGTCTTTACCCTCCTGCGTTTGTCAGAAAAGGGGAGCTTTTTTATTGTCAGGACAGGAAGTTATGAAAACTACAGTAAGAGAACAAGGACACCGCCTCTGGAGTCGCACCCACAATAAGCTTTTGTGGATTTTTTATTATTTTTTTTTTGTCGTTCCTTTTCACCAATTATCTGCATGCCAACCCAATCTCAGTTTAACGTGGATGTGACTCGTTAAATCAAAGTCGCACGGCTCACATGTGCACCTCATTACTTGATGAGATGCTAACTCGCTCGGGAGCTTCATTTCTCACCAACCCGCGCGTACTGTAAGACACGAGCATGCAGTCATCTTCCCCCCCATCTCTCTCTCTCTCTCTTCCTCGCTTTCCGACACAGACACACGAGCGTGCCCACACTAATTAACATGAAAAACACACACCGTCATCTGTCAGCGTCTGTGAGGGAAGGTCCCAGCAGCCTCTGGTGCTAAACAAGCTTTGTGTTGCTGAAAAGTGTCGTGAGGTTGTGCTAAATTTGTCACACACATCAAGTAACCCTGAGCGAGGGGGTGGGGGGGAAGGAAAAAAAAAAAAAAACAGCCCACACAGCATTTCAGCCTGCTCATCCAATCACGGTGTGCTGCGAACCCACAGAACCAAACAAACACACACGCTTTGTTTGCATGCTCATGCATAATACAACAATCATAATCAAATTTGCATTGGCACGCAGGTGGAGTTAGTGACAGTTGGTAACATCTGCAGCAAGGCTTGACCAAAAAGACGGCTGTCAAACCTTCATCCACACTAAAAAATGCAAGTCCGCTCAGTTTTCGGCCTGCATGCAAAAATGATAGGTGGTTTGGAAGACCTGAACACATCATGGCACCTGGCAAACACGGCAGCGATGGGATCATGCTGTGGGGACGCTAGAAAAGACTTGAGATAGATCAAACCTTAGCCAAACAGCCAGAGCTAGGCTGGAATGTTTCTGATCAAAGTTAAATACATGCCCTCCCTTTTTTTTTTTTTTTTTTTTTCTAAACTTTATTGTTACTTTCCACTTAGGTTCAACTTTTTGCTGCTCTACCACACAGAATCCAGTTTCAGTCAGCCAGATCTGGTTCAATATAGTCGGCATCTTTATGGAGAAGAACCGAGGGGAGAATCAGAAGGACAGGATGTGTAATCATTGGAATAAAATACTGTAGGAGTGGAAAAAAAAAAACAAAAAAAAAAACGCTGAAAGACTAATGTCTTGTGCTGAGCTTCTCATATCTCCCACTGGTGTTGTCAGCTTGAATGAAAACATGATGATGTGCAGAAAACGAAATGACTAAATCGAGATGCGATCCAACTAATCCCTTATTTTAAAACATCTGCTTGCTTCTGCATTACACGGGCTAGAAGGTGGATTCTGGGAAATGGACACTCCTTTCTTGGTGACCTCCTTCTCAGAAGGGGTCATCAATACTTAAACACTCCTGATGCACAAACAAGTCTGACCCCCCACTTACTGCTGCCGCCACTGCTGTGTGTGTAATGGGGGGGGTTCGGGCGGAGGGGGGGGAGGTGGAGTCTTCGTTATAATTTCATGACCCTCTACGCGATGAGACACAACACGACAGCATCAATTATTCAGCCTACCTCGGTGGCAGGTCACGTGAGGGGCGGAGATCCTGGAGACGCGGCGTTGTTGTCTGGCAGATTACCGTCCCGCCTCCCCTCCTCCTCACCGCTGCACACACAAACAGATGGACGACGCTGCACCTTACTCTTGTTTTACCACCAGCAGCATTTCATTCCCACTCAGTCAAAAAGTGGTCATGCCTATCAACGGGGCCAGTCAATGAGCAACCATCTGCTTCCTGGTGCCATTAACCTTTGACCTTAAAGCGGAGTCCAACGGGCGACCTCTCAGGTGTCCTGACAATGGAGGGGAGGAAGTGGATTGGACACAGGAGATTTGGAGATTATGTGGAAGAATTTTCTCTCACTCCTCTCTGTAGAAGCTCCACACAGTTGTCCGTTGTGAACTCTGACCCTGAAAGCTCCAACATGCTTCATCAGAAGTGACGAAAACGTTTCTCAGTGGCGTAGGCGTGCGACGAAAACGGCGTCATTTTGTTCACAGGTCGAACTGTTTCGCACTGAGCTTTGTGCAAAGTGTCGTGTGATTGGTCAGAAGTTTACCGCCTCAGACAGCAACGTTGATATTCCTCTTCAGCTACTCTGCTTCTCCAGCAAGAGACATTAATGCTTTTTTGGGGAATGTCGATCTGATGCGATGATGATGTACATTTGTCACTGCTAATCTACCTCATTTGCTTTTGCCACTCCTCTTTAAATTTCTGTGTGGTTGTTTGCAGATTCACCCGTCTCCAACAATAAATAACAGCTTAGGAACTGTTTTGTAACCTTTTCCTGGCTGATATGTTTATGTCTTCTCGAATTTCTTTGGTTTGGAGCTGGTGTGTTGCTTTTTGAGCTCTTTTATCCTACTTCGTGCTGTTAGATAGGTTCTATTTAAGTGGCTTCTCCATTCTTAAGGTTTGTCATTAATCAAAACT